GAGCATAAGGGACTCTCCCCAAAGAAGATAAAAATAAGAAACCTCAAAGAAGGACTTATCGTGTCAGCAAGAGGACATCTCATATTTTCCCTTCTCCCTCTCCCTGGTCAGATCCATAGTACCCTCGTTACGCTGTCTCTTATGCCTTGAGGACACCTGCATAGGAGAAAGAGCCTCGGCCAGCTGCCCTATTGACGAAGTGCCCGATCCTGACATAGGGCCCATGTCGGTCAAGAAAGCCTTGACACCCTTATGTTCCTTCTTTAGGTTGAAAGCGGTCATCCTTTCCAAACGCTCTTGGGCGGAATTCATCTTATCTGCGAGGAAACAACAAAGAATGATCAACAAAGCAGAAGAATATATGTGTCGTGCAAACAAGGAAAATCAAATCATAAGACGACTACCAAGATATGCCACATGGTCCTCACTCTCAAGGAGCTCCTTAATGCTTATTAAACTCAGGTCGTAGACCTCATGTCCGTTTTTATCAACAAATGGCTTCCCCCTCTGTCGGCATGCTGAACAGGAGGGAACTCAGCAACAAACACGCATAAACGATCAAAGCTAGCTATGTCCTCGACACCGAGCTGATCTTTCTTCCAAAAATAGACGTCAGTCCCCCTTTCATAATTCTTATCGGTCCATTGAAAAGGAAACTTGGGCACCAGCTTGTTCGCATGTTTTCTGTCCTCGGTCAAAACAGGAGCCCCTTCCTTATTGTACGCATGGGAAACCCGGAAGACACTCAGTAGTGCCCTCTCCGAGACGGGCTGAACGAGCATGTATTTTTCCTTAAATAAGCGGACTAACTCCAGGTACGCCTTGAACAACTTGTCGTTCGTCTGCTTCAGAGAAACCCAACCATATTGGGCACCAAACGTCTGCCTCTGAAGTGGAAACAGTAGAAGAATAATGGAACAGTTTCTCCAACGCCCAAATAGTCACACATGATCTTGAAAACTCGAAGGAAGGAGATCGAGTTTGGGTGAAGTTGGGACAGATCCAGACGAAGATGCCTAAAGACCGCCACTTGAAAGTCCGAGAAAAAGAGCCACAAACCCATCTCCTTGAACATGATCTTGTACATAGGGAACCAACAAGCTTTGAACCGCGAGCAGATCCAGCTCTTCTTGTTGGGGATATAGATTGCCCATTTCTCTTAAGCACCCTATCGGTCTATCTCCGAATCAACAAGGTGAATATCTCGTCAGTATGCTCAATAAAGTGAGAGACATACCTCAAGGGCCCAATGCAACCCAATCCAGTGGACCATTCTCGACCACAGGCATGGTAGGACCACCTCTGCGTCAGGAGCCACCTCCATGTCCCCTTCATCATCCTGATTATCAGGCATCTCTGGCTCCAGTGTTACCAGTGAGGACTCATACGCCCTTGAGGTGCTTTCCTCGCTGGACGTACTCTCGACATAACTCTGAGTAGAACCGTTGGGCTCATTGAGAACCTCGTTATTGACACTACTAGTCATCATACCTGAAAAGCAGAGTATAAAAGTGAGTTCGACGTCAACGTCAAATCTACCATTCCACCACTAATCAAGTGAAAGGGCACAAAGGAATAAGGACTATGTCCCCGACCAGAGCCCTCAGTTAACAACTACTAGACGACATCCCTTCCCCAACCAAGCTAACTGGATTCATATAAAAATTTCCTACATTCTTCTGACACTACTGAGGTTCCAAAAACTCCCATGCGGAGGACACTTGGTATCCTCGACGACCTCACCCGCCAGAACCACTGTCTCTAGCCAACATTTAGCCAGAATTTCTAAGAAATTAGTTACCTTAAACCCTAACCGCATGCATTTTCTAAGGAAAAACCTTAAAATCTAAACTATAACAAAAGTAACAATTGCAAAAACAAGGGGGGTCAAGGGAACTTACCTGATTATGTGAAGGAACGATGAAAAAAGACGGTGGTGAATGGTGGAACGAACGAAAAATCTTAGAAACGGATGAAGTCAAACAGAAATGGATGAAGTCGGTAAAGAACGAAGGTATAGAGAAGCTGAAAGACAAGTAAAAAGTGTATAAGATCTCTCTCCCCTCCTTTTATAGGCTAGGCTCACCGGCACATGGGCGAACATGCACCTAGAGAACTCTAAAGGGAATCATTATTACGCCATAATCCCTAGGATATCCATCATCACACCACTCTAACATCATGTGGCTCGATACAAGCGTGGCACGCAATCTCCTCGGACTCCAACCAATCGTTCCTCTCCCTACAAAACAAACACTAAGAAATTTTTAGAATCCTCGTACAAAATTTCCCCTTGAGACATGACAACTCCTCGAAACCGCTCAATTGTTCCCCTCCCCGCAAGACGAACACGACAAGCGTCACTCATACTCCTCGTACGAAATTGACTGAAAAGCACTCGCGTAATCCTCCTCCTCAGAACAAACGACTACTTACGAGAACACCTGCCCGTTTTGACCGAGTCCTGGAAGTTACCTACTTTTACAGACCTGCATATCTAGGCCCAAAAATAGGGACCAATGGCCAAGCGCCGGGGTAATTATATAAACCTCACACATGTGAGGGTCAGGTATCGAATATCAAATATCTAATATTCCTATCAGAAACCCTAATACTTTGCTTGTATATCTTTTCTCTCACACTTACTTGATTGTTGGAGTGCCTTACATGTACAACCCTCCCCCCTTTTTTCCCTAACTTTCCAGCTTGTCAAAGATCTTCCTCCAACCTGCTTGTCAGTTCTGATCAACCGGTAAGATCAAGTTCAACCAGGAGCTGATAAAAAGGTCAAATATTGGTCTGATGAAGTAATTCATAGTACATAGATGGAGGAAAATATTATGATCCAAAAGGCTAAAGTTGATTGGTTGTAGTTAAGGGATGTAAACAATGTATTCTTTCATGCAATTGTTAGAGGAAAGAATAAGCAGTCTAAGCTATACAAATTGGAGGACCAACCTGGAAAAATCTTGACTGATTTCAGAGAAGTAGAAGAAGAAATCATCATGTTCTACAAGGAACTGGTGGGGAAAGCAGCTCATGCGCTTAGGCATGTGGATATTTGTGGTATGGTGGGAGAACTGACTTGGTGTTTTATGTTTTTATCGCAAATGTCGCGGATAGCAAGAGTCACCACCGACTTTTATTTTATCCAATAAAGGAAAGGGTGAAAAGAACAGGAAAGAAATTTTAAGAATTTTCTTGAGTTTAGGGGGTAAGTTATGAAAAGGAAAGGTGTTAGCACCCTTTTCATCCATAGTTATTTATAAGCTCTTAATTGTTAGCTCACTTTGAAATGCTTTGTGTTTGTGTAAGTTTGAAAATATTTTGAAAATGCCTTTGTGCGGAAAACTTTGTAATGATTCTCGTATCTTTGAGAATCTATACAAAGTGTTGATTTTGAAAATATTTGTTGTTTGGAAAGTGTTTGAAAGATGTTTTTGAAAGTGTGAGGCATGGAAATTGTTTTAGTTCATGAGCAAGAAATTACGAGCAGTCTACCTACTCAAAAAGTCCTTGTTCTTTTCCTCCTCCTTTAGATATTGTAATTTTACCATTGATTGGTAAGAAGCCATATCATTGGATGTGAGGGACAGGCGCGAGACATCATACAGTCATAGAAGGCAACTTGTGGGACACTTTAGCAATTTTTCGCAAGGGACTAAGATCGTTTTACCAAAGGCAACATCAAAGGGTTATCGAGGGACTACGATCCTTTTTAATCGAGGGTCTTTGCTAAAGCGTCTATTATTCGAGGGACATGATTATTTTTCTGAGGCAACAAGCGAGGTTATCCTAGAGGTGCGCGTCTGAAAAGTGATTGATTCAAGTTTAATTTGTCTTGATTAGGGTTATCTAGCAGTTGATTTTAAATCTTGTCATACATGCCTAATCACTATATAGTAATAAATAAATGCAATAAAGTGCCGAAATGAAGTTTTATGCTATTACAATGCTTCGGGAGTGGGGGTACAAATTTACAAATGGGGAAGAGTAAAATCCTAATTAAACTATTACAAACCGTAAGTATTTACAATAATCGAAAAAATGCGAAAATAGTAAACTACACGAAAATAAAAAAGAAAAGGGAAATTGTTTTGTAATTTTATCAAGTAAGAAAATTAAATCAAATTAAATCTATGAATGAAGATTCACGAATTAAAATTCTAAACAATATTTTTGGTATCTTATCAATTTAAATTAAATCTAAAGGAAAAATAAAACTAAGTTCTAATATGTACTTTTTGTTTTTTTATATAAAAAACTCTAAACCTAATAATTTATTTCATAAAAAGTAATTATCATTTTTTGTTGTAATAATCAACAAATAAACAAAAATAAGTCAAGAAACAAAAATAAAAAGCTATCGGGTCTCACGGGGGTGTGAAATTTGGTTTTGGGGGTGTAAATTGATAAAACAAAAGTCCAACAACAATAATAGGCCCAACTGAATCCTACATTTTTCAAAAGCAATTTGTTGGATCTGCTAGGGGAGACCCAAACAGTAATCTCGGTGTATCATTAAAGCGTGACTATTAAATTAGCCTACTTTATGATTCAAAGCAGATCTGACGGTTCAAGTATCTTAGGTCTAAGCATACAATGGGACTATCCGCACTGGATCTAGATTTTTTTTATTAACCAAATGACCAGTAAAACCCGACATCTATTTGATTATTACATTAATTATCATCTGAATGTCATGATTAAGTAAATAAAAATAAAAATAAACTTGAAAACTTGGATGAATCAAAGGTTTCGAAGACTGGAGCTCCATATGCTTCGTCCTCCTCCCTCGTTCATTTTCCTCATGAAAACACAGTCTCGAAGCGAAATTCAATAGTGCATCACAAAATAAATGCAATCATTCAAACTACGATATCGAAACAAGAAGAGCTTCATCAGGAATGTTTTAAGCTGACTAGAAACTCCCTCTAATCCAACTTTGTATCATCATCAATAGATGAAATCAAGTGTAGGAATGGGTTCAACGTTTCATCATGGTCATTCAACAATCAAATGCAAACCAAAATCATTCAGGGAAACCAAGTTCATCCTCTAATTATCAACGCCACAAAAACCTAATTGTGAAATTAAATGGTTGGGGAAGACGAAACAACTACATAATCTTGGGGGAAACTCTCAATATACCAAAGGCTACATCTCAGTGTCAGCGATTTTCACAATGATGGAATTTTGTTACCTGAAGGACGCTATTGTGTTTTATGACGAGGATCTCAAGTCTTCTACGAGGTCATCAACTTCCAGTAAATAGGTCTCTCTCCCCTTCTGTATGTGTGTTTATTGTTCAAATATCCCTGTATGTATCTATATATGCTTATGAGTCTGGTGATTTTGTTGAGTCAAGGTAAGGCTTGAGTGTCTTGGTTTTTTATTATCTGGGTTTATATAGGGTTGAGTTTAGAGGGTGCAGTTTTGTGATATAGAAGTAAGTTGTAGGTGATAAGGTTTAAGTTAGTTTACTGGTTTGTGGAGTAATGTTGCAGGGTGATAACATAGAGAGGTAAAGTTTTAAGGAATGTTTTTGTGTGTGAGTTTGGTTTATGCAGAAGGTTGAGAGGAATATTTTTCTGTGTGTTTTTTAACATTTTCCTCCTTTTTTAATAGAAGTTTAAGGACCTATTTTTATAGGTGAGTGGAACGAGATTTTGGGAGGAAAGTTTGGTGAGTTTTTGAACAGTTTTGGCATACTATTTTAGCACTTTCTAATGCACTTTATGTTTGACATCTTTTGTGTAATTGTTGGACAAGTTTGATGCAGACTTGCAAGCTGAGCAAAGGGTTTTGTGAACTGCTGTATGGTGCAGAGCAGAAGGGTATGAAGCAGGCTGTAGAATAGTTTTGGATTGATGTAGGAGGTAGCAGCATGACAACAATGTAACATCAGGTTTTGTGGCATCATTATCTTAGCTACAAGGTGGGGCATTGTGTAAAACAGAAACTATGTTGCATTCTTTGTTTAAATTCCATGGTTGCTTCCAAACTTTGTATGAGAGAGAATAGTATGAATACATTTCCTTAAAATATTAACTTGATACCCATGTATTCCTCTTAATCTTTTAGCTCCAGTGATTCAGTGATAACTTGTTTGATGTGTGATATCTTGGGTCAATCCTTTCTAACATTTCGTTGATATCTTCTGCATTATCTAGGACATCCACCCATTCTTAAATAATCGAGGTTGGTGAAGCGATTCACATCAACAGGGAGTGAAAGCAATTGTGGACAATTTATAATTACAAGTGTTTTTAGACAAAACAAAATTGACACCCACCTAGGAAGCTCACAAAGATTGTCACAATGACTTCAAATTGTCGCAAGAAACAAGAATTATCATTTCTATAGAAGTCACCTTTGCAATCTCTTCGTCTGGAAATTTAGATTCCCTTGTGGTTATATGTAATTATTGAAGGCTGTAGGTTTCAAAAGAATCCATGTAGTCCTTTAGTATTATGAAAACTAGACTTGAATGTAATTCTATTTCAATTTATTTTGCGCTTTCATGGACCTTGAATGACAAATGAATTTATGAATGACAATACTTGACTCTTAGTAAATTTTGAATTGGTCTAAGATAATTGTTTGGAATTTGTTATGATAATGCATTAATTTCAAATAGGAACTTGAATGAAATTGTTTGGAATATTTAATTCCATGAACTCATAATCGAATTGAATCAACAAATGCCCATGTGTACCGTTTTTGAATATTGACAAAACCATATTGTTGTACCCCAAAATTTTCCCTCTCTTTTCTCAAGACATTTCTCACAAATATCTTCAAAAGCTCAAGCTTGCACAAGGGTTGACTAGGTCAAGCCATCTTCTCAACACCGATACTTCAAATTAGGGTTTGAGTTTGTACAAGGAAAATTGGACTTCTAATACTTTAAATTACTTTCATGCATCATTAGGGACCCTTAATATTTCTCATATCAAGTTTCAACTCTTGGATCACAAAATTGCTCAGTCAATTGATCAAATGACCTAAAATCAACTATATTGGGTAAAAAGTCAACTGTGGTCAACCTACAGTAAAACTTCAAGATTTTGGACCAACATCAACATTTGGAAGTCACATGTATCAATTGATCAAGTTTGGATCACAATTCCCCAAGAAAATTGTTTAAATCACCAAAAGGGCAAAATGGTCAAAATTGGGATTTTAACTGTATTTGACTGATCAAAGGTTTTTGACCTAATACATGATCCGATGGTTTGAAGCAAAATATAAAGGATTCAAATACAACATATTTACCTAATTTTATGGCTCAAAACATTTCTCAAGATCAATTGATTGATAGTTGAAATTCAGTCAACTGATGAAAAGTCAACTGATACACCAAAAGTCAAACTTTGACCTTTTGATCAAAATTGAGTTTCAAATATCACATTTCATCAAGAAATTCAAAAATATAAAACTTTATCATCAAGAAATCAAGAAATTCAAAAGTCATTTTGAAAAGTCAAAGTTTTCAAGACTCAGAAAATTTTCTAAGTGTTTAAGTCTTACTTTTTCATGACTTCATGCCAATTTTCACCAAGATGAAAGATGATTCAAAGAAAATTTTCGACATCAAAGTTGTAGATCTTGATGAGATCTAAAACTTTGATTTATTGATCAGGTTCTATAAGTGCTTAAATTTTTAGTTATAAATTCACAAAGTCATGCACTTTGTAAAAAAACACTTAGAGAAAATTTGACCTAGTTAGGCAGATATTTGGTGCCAACTTCATGGCAATTTTTCACATAGTTCTAATTGGATTCCCCAAAAGTGAAAAATATGAAGGCTGTAGAGGATGTTCCAAGCTTTCCAAAATTTATAAGAACTCAATGAGATCATTCTTGAGCTAGGAGAGTCAAAGAGATGAAGTTAAGGTTTCAAACTTGAATTACAAGTCATTTCTTCATGAAGAACCTTTTGATCCAATTTTAAACATGCTGCATAATCTTGCTCCAAAAGTCTATTAACCCCTAAGTCTACCTTTAGTTGTATGATTACACAAAGTTTTATGCCCTAATCCAAGCATTCAATGCATTGTCCATGCTTAATACCATTTTAGGAAGAAAGGCAACATTGCCATTTTAGAAAAGTGGCTTTAATCACAAAGTCCACTCTTCTTGAGCCTCTAACTTGTTGTTATTAACATACACAACATGTATGCTCAGAAGAAACATGTTTAAAGCTTCTAAGCCACCCTATAAACTAGGTACTTGTGCATTGGAACCACATTTTTCAAACATTCTTCAAAAACAAGCAAAAATCGGCAAACATGTGATTCTTGATTTTTGAATTCTCCAAGCTTACAAACCTACTCTTTATAAATTGAACCATCATCTGAAACATAAGACACGAATTCATAAGCCTGAAAACTTCCTCAAACTCCCTCAAGCCAGATATTGCCTAAAAACACCATTATTGTGCAAATTTTGACTTTACACATCAAACTTCCATTCCACTCGTGTGTTTCTTTGCCAAACCATTTCAAAGCTTCCCTATCTAAAATGTAAGCCATCCCAATACCTGTTTTCAAACTGTAACATCATTTTCACTATCCTCCATTTTCAAAAACAAAGGTCTACATTTGGACTTCTCTAGAATAGTTCAAGCGCTCTCAGCTTAAAGTAACCATTAGATTAGTTTCCTAGAGGTTCAAGGAAGCTAACCAGGCCATTAAAACATCTTGAAGTGAGCTCTAACTCAAAACACGATATCCAGTTTTAAGGTATGTTTTCTGATTTTCAATCTCTTCATATATGCATTGTTAGCTTTTCAATTTCAAAGATAAAATGTAGATATCATAGCCCTGAAACTGACCATGTCCTTAGAATTCATTTATGTTGCCTGAGTAGTGAGAATTTTAGAGTTGAGCTTCTTGAAAAAATTAGGTTAGGATTGGTAATAGTCAAAATCCATGCTCATCTTTGAGCCATTATTTAAGTTATTTACATTCCTGGAATCGTGGTGAAATTTTTTACAAGTTTGATGTTCATACTTTTGAGAATGGTTCAGAAATGAATGAGTTGCAGAGGCTCTGGCTGGCGTGAGGAAGAAGATGAAGTTTATCATTAGAACTGGTTTTGTAATATATATTTATGGTTTGATATAAAATGCTGGATGTATAGCCACCCCAGTGGTAGAGAGCACGCACGTTATTGCCAAGGGTCTGGTTTCGAGCTCAAACATTGCCCCTTTTCCTAACTTTTTCATGATTTTCCTTTTTTTTGTCACAAGGAAGCGTGCCTGGGCCTAAGGTCATTGGGCCTAGATTTTTTACTCTCATAACACCCCTGTCTACTAACAACAATGCAGCCCATTGTTTTTATTTTCTTTTTTTTCTGATTACAAAAATCACAATCGGCCTAATCACAAAACAAATTTGTTTTACTTCCAAACCACTTTTCCCATTTTTACACCCCCTGACTTTATTTTTACATTTTATTTTATTTTCCCTTTTCTTTATTTTTATTATTATTAATATTATTATTATTATTATTATGATTTTTATTAATTAAAAATCCTAATAAATAATTTATTTATTATTTGCATATTTAATATACTTTTACCTTATTTCTTTTAAGACAAAAAAGACCAAAAATATTTTTCTTTAACAAATTTCTTTTTAATTAAATTAATATTAGACTTAGGTTTATTTTATTAATTAAAATTAATTTAGAACTTAGGACTTTTAATTAAATGATTTTTCATAAAAACCTTAAAAATTTGTTTTCTTGATTAAATCAATTTATTTTTTCAAAATAACTTAGGTTTAGTTTTCTGAAATTAGATTAATTAATTACTTTATTTTTCTGATTTAATTTAGTTAAACCCTCTTATACAAAAAACTCAAACAAAAACAATTTCATTTTCCTTTCATATTGCCTTCACATTCTTGTACATTTTTATTCATTCAAATTCAATATGGTTGTAATAGTAATTAGGGTTTATTTACTTGTATCTCCCTATTTGTAAATTTGTACCCCCATCCCCAATGATGTAATAGTGTAGAACTTTACATTTTCACAATTTATCTCTTTCAATATAAATGCTAGTAATTAGGGTTTGTATGGCAAGACCTAAAATCAACAAGTAGAAAACCCTAATTCAAGATAAAATGCATAAAATCAATACACTTTGCACACTTGTACCTCTAGGGTAACCACACTTGTTACCTAAGATAAAAAATCAGTCATATCCCTCGAACGTGGGATACTTTAGCAATGACCCTCGAATACAAGATCGCATTCCTTCGATGACCCTTCGATGTTGCCTCCGGTAAACAATCTTAGACCCTTACGACAAATTGATAAGGTATCCTACAATGTTGCCTTCTATGACTGTACGATGACCCGTGCCTGTCCCTTCACATCCAATGATAGGGCTTCTTATCAACCAATGGTAAGATAGCAATATCTAAAGGAGGAGTAAAGGAACAAAGACTTTTTGAGTAGGTAGAACGCTTGTAGTTGCTTGCTCACAACCATTTTCAAGACATCTCTCAAAACACACCAACACTTTCAAATGAAATATTTTCAAAAGTCAACACTTTGTATACATTCTTATAGAGACGGGAATCATTACAAAGTTCGCCTAAACGAAGGCACTTTTCAAAAATACTTACAAAAACATCACAAAACACATTTCAAACAAAGCATTTCAAAGTGAGCTAGAAACTAAGAGCCCGTAGATAACTACAGATGAAAAGGGTGCTAACACCTTCCATTTTCATAACTTACCCCCCAAACTCAAGAAAATTCTCAAAAGGTCTTTCCTATTCTTTTCACCATTTCCTTTATTGGATAAAAGAAAAGTCGGTGGCGAATCTTGCTATCCACAACAATTATGATAACACGCAAAACACCCAAGTGAGTTCTTCCACCGTATTACAGAACTGGTGACTCTGTTGGGGACATACTTAAAAGTGG